CTAGTCACAAGCGTAAATATATAAAATATTCGCATTTAATTGGAGAACAAAAAATAACATTTTTTTACGGTGGTCAAATTTCTGGAATTAATTACCGACTTTTAAAAAAATTAACGAACTCAAAAATAAAATGACAAGGAAAGACTACTTCATTTTATGCCAAAAAGGTAAGTATATGATACCAAAATGAGTGCTATTTTGAACAAATATAGATTTGATTCGATACCACTCACCAAATAACTCCCAAAGTACCAAAAATGAACTTTATAAGCTTTATGCAGGCAAAAACCTAACCCAAATGCAATGAAGCTGAGGAATAAAGATAATAAAATGCGTTCATAATGAATTATATTGCTTTTAATGTGTATATTGCCAAATATTATTTAGCCTAAAGAGTTTTGTAGTTTACTACTAGTTTTGATGGCACCTAATATATATATATATATATATACAGATTTTGATGCATATGTTGTTGTGATAATACATATGATTATTATAAATCATAAGATCTCACGAGAAAAAATTAACTATACCCTGTTTATGAAGCGACTAGCTTTTATGTTCATGATTTAATACATTATTTTCAAAATAATAGTATATTATTATTAAAATATGAGGTCCAAAGCAGTATATGAAGGAATGATATACTTTAGGAGTAAAGCCATCAAGCTCGCCATTTTCGATTCGCCACAGAACATTTTGCGTTTGATCACCATATATGCAAAAGTTGAGACAATGAAGTGGTTCAATATATTGTTTATAACTCTATATGTACATATAGCTGTAATTAAACTCATACAAGTGAATTCTGAAAATGAAGAAGCACAGAATCTCCCAGAAATAGGACATCGGCCTCTTTTTCTTTGGATTGACAGACAAAGCGGACATGCTATTGAATAGCTTACAGAAGAAATTAATTTACTTGACTATGCCAGATATCGTCTCCATCAATATCATCGGGTCTTTGTGCAATTATCGATGACATAATTAATGAATGAGGGAATCAGGCAACACCCTTCCAAAGTACCGCTTACAAATAAACCTATTATAAGCCCGAGTCGTCAGGTGAAAAATATTGCTTACGAAATCAATTTATTTAGAGAGAATATAGCACAGGTAAAATAAAATATTAATTCGTAAATGTAATTCTTGTTGGGTTCCACATTGCTTATTTCGCAATTAGAATATAAAAACTTAGCAACACCATGTTACTTAAAGTGATCTAAGGAATGATAGTTCAACTTTTTCCATATAAGATAAGTTGTTCTCATGATTTTATTGAAATTCATCAATCATTACTACCCAACCTGTTATATCCTCCAAGGTGGAATGCAACTTCGATATCGACTAGATCTCACCAGAACTACAAACGAGATTGGATAACTGGGCATAAGCTGATATTGTAACATCATAGCGTGGCCACCAGTAATTAAGATATATAAGGCAAGCTAGCCCAAATCACATATTTGTATAGTAGGAGTTTGGATTATGCAATCAGAATTCCCTATCAAATATATTATTATATTATATTATATTATATATATATATACATTAAACCTAACCAAAGCAAGCAGTACCACAACATTTGTGGGTTGGCACACAAGAGACTAGGACATGGGAAGTCATAGACTTGGTATTAGAGATAGAAACAAGATAGACGCGGCGGCAATGGGAGCTAGTGGGCTGTCAGTAGTTTTTATAAGAGACGTAGCCTGAGAATTACATTTATTCAGATGCTTGAGCCTCGAATTAGTCACTCAGACGCAGGGTAGAGCCAATAACG